GCACGCCTGAATAGGAAGGTTTTTGAATGGATTTTAGGAGGGAAATTGAATGTAGGGTCTGTTTAGGGAATTCCTTTTGATTTGTATGCATTAAATAGTTGATTTTTCTAGGGTTTGAGTATCTGAAATTTGGCTGAAATTTGAGATCTCTTAGATTTAGGTTTCTTTGGGCTCTAGCGGCGTCTAGAGATTTGGGAGAGATCGATCCTCCTCTCGAATTGAGGATCAATTGTATCTTTTCTATTTTGTTGCATCTACTAGAAAAATACAAGTCTTTTCTCCACTGTTTCTCTCCGATTTGCTATTTTTCCACTATTTTGGGGGCTGATTTCTGCTGTGGACAGCAGGTTGTCATTGATTATTGCTTCTAAAGTGGTTAGGAAATACTTGAAATCGAGTATTTCCTATCACACTACTCTTAGGGAATCGACTGTCAGATACCACATTCCTCATGTCAATGCCTTAGTTTATGATGCTCGAATCATACAACATATCCTTTGAAACTCAATCATTCCAAAAGTTGTGGATCGTATTAATATCGCACTTCTTCTACTGCTAATCACTTACTTCATAATGACTGAAATTGATTTCAATGCAATTGATTTTATTATTCGATATATTGAGAATCTTACTTCCATTATAGATTCTAGATATAAAATAAAGTCAAATCTTACCCTAGGTCATATAATTGCCTTCGTCCTTGAATATAAATACAACTTCCACTTTCCCTACACCATCAAATCATCTCTCAATTTTTTATTCAAACAGTTCCTTCCACGTCCTTCACAGTGCTGGCCGCCACAATGTTTACTATGTGGACCCCAAGCCAAAGGAAGCAGAGGGAGGTTCAACACCTATTCCATCACTAGCATCTTTTCACCAGCAATCTCAATACGATATACTGGTTTAGAGGTTTGACCAGTGGGAGGCTCGTTTTCACACCTACGTAGAAGAGCAACAATAGTAACATGAAAATGATATGGCTCATTTTTATAACTATGTAGCATAGCAGTACCAACAACATGAAAAGGACATAGCTTGGTTTGAAGAGCAGTTTGCTTCAATTCACAGATACTTCCAACCACCATTATCACCTCCACTTGATTAGAGCCCTTCATATTTTTAGTTTGTTCTATTTTAATGCTTGTGTCTGTATTGTTTTTATGTCCATGTTTTTGTGATATATGTTTTATTATGGTGTTTTATTTAGTTATTTCCTCCTTTTTGTGATGTCAAAAGGGGGAGTAGATTGTTGTTAGTTGTTTGTACTTCATGTTCTATTATGATTAGTTCACTGTTTTGTCTTTTGCTTTTTCACTCATTTTTTATGTTTCTCTTATTCCTTATTTTACAAAAAAAAAAAACTCTCCCTAATTTCAAAAATTCAATTAGTACGGTGGAGCTTAGGACAACAAAACTTTTACTTGGATCAAAACCAACAATGTTTATCATTATAAAAAAAGGAGGAGATTGTTGTAAATCTAAATTCAAGTCCTGTGATTTTGATTATAACAGACATTATTGGATTTCTTACTATGCTTTTATTATTATTGCATATCTTTTTTTTTCTTGTGCACCAATATTTCAGGTCCATCGTATAGACTAGGTAGGATAGGATTAAAATGTATGGAGAGTCTGTAATTTTACTTTTTGTTATTTCTACATTTCTTTAGTCAAATTATGTATTTGGTGAGTACTAAGCTTGGTGACCATGCACACAGTCACTCAAGAGAGTGAGTTAGTAACAAAATTAGAAATTAAATTTTCTAAACTAATCATACTATATGATCCATATCATACTATACGATATGCTAATACAAAAAATCATCAAAATGGCTAATTGTGATAATTAATGCAATTTGAACTATTCGTTCTGCACAATACATATCGTACAAGAGATCAATTGAAATCAGGATCCCAACTGCCAATCACATGTTAGGCAATATTTTGAAATTTAAATTTTGTACTAATCATGTTGTATGATAGGTATGGTACTGTACGATCTAATTATAACTTTGCCAAAATTAATCCTAGAATTAGGGAAACAATTTTGGTTAATTTGACCAAGCAGATCGTACTAGACGATTGGAGCCAATCGTACTGGACGATTGGAGCCAATCATACTGTACAACCAAATCCCTGCACGGGACGATAATTTATAGTTGTCAAACGTACAAGACGATAAACCATGTTGTTTCGACTAATCGTAATGGATGACCTTTTATATTATATTGGACTATCAGTGCAATACATTAAACTGATTGTACAACGCTCCACAATTGGTACAGTATTATTAGGGTGATTTGAGCTAATCGTACCGTATGATCTTGGATCATACTCTACAATCAGTATCAGTATAATTGAATTTTAGGAGTTTTTGTGAGACATTGTATTTAATCTCTCAATAGACTTGTTTTAAGATCTTTGGCTACTGAGTGTTCTTGAGAGGGAGCTTGGAGAAGAAGATTTAGAAGAGATCTTTGGCTACAGTGTTCTTGAGAGGGAGCTTGGAGAAGAAGATTTAGAAGAGCTTTGAGAAGAAAAAAAGGAGAGTTTGTGTGTAAGAGAGAAGTAGTATGAGGGGTTCACATGGTTGCTCCAAGAAAATGCCTTATCTTGTTCCTCCAAGTGTCTGTCTAAGTTTCTTGGGTGGCTCTTAGAAGAAATTCTTCAGCTTAAGGATGTGGTTCTCTGCCAACACAAAGAGGGTGAGAAAGGAGTTCGTGGTTCTCTGTCATTACCAGGAGGGTGAGAAATAAGTTGTAGTTCTTTGCCATCATTAGGAGGGTGAGAAAGGAGTTTGTGATTCTCTTCCATCACCAAGAGGGTGAGAAAGGAAATTGAGATTCTTTGCCGTCTCTAGGAGGGAGAAAAACGATTGAAGGTCTGCTACTGTCAAGAGGAGGGTGACAAAGCTTCTGGTTCTCTGCCGCACTGAATTTGGTGGAAGTGATTTGTGCAAGAACTTGTCCGCCTTGGTGTAGGGGCAAAAGTAGAGACACTATAATGATCGCGCAATACTAGGAGCGGAGGACTCCGAGGAGTGGACATAAGTCATTATTTGCCGAACCACTATAAATCTCTGGTGTGTTTGTTCTTATTTTCTACTTTCGCATTTTACTTTTTCTGCACATTATTTCAATGAAAACTACTTGGTGAAAATCGATGATTAATGCTTTGTTCTGTTAATTAGAATATCACCATCATTGGTTTAATACAAGGTTTAAAATTGCGTAAATAAGCCTCGAGGCGGTGTGAGGCGTAAGCCTCACGGACGATTACGCCTCACGGACGAAGAATTGCGTAAATGAAAATTTAAGGGTTTTAGCAGGCAAATAATAGTAAGATTCTATCATATAATAAAAAACATCTAAATGGAAAGTGAAATTAGTGAAAAGTAAGAAAATAAATGCAATAAAATCATGCCCGAATGTACAGAACCACAAAATATAAGTCTATCAAAACTCCCAAAGTACAAATCAGAAAGAACATATTAAACTCTCTCCCATACAACCCTATAGACCGCAGCATATTGAAGTAGGCCGGTGATGTCGCAACATTAAATGATATGACATTCTCAAAAAAAAAAATCTGTTAATATCCATGCAAACCTGCTGTTGACCCGCTCTGGTACCAGCTGCAGGCATCATCTGTGCTTGTTTTCTATCCTCACCTAGATTAGTCATATATTGGTCCATAGGATCTCGTGCACATCTATTATGTATAGTGGAGGAAGAGCCCTTTCTACTCTCGCTCCCGAAGTAAGCACCATGTTCGACCCTTTCATCAAATTGTTCATGTTGTAAATGTTTGGTTGTGGTCCTCTTTTTCATATAAGTTGTAATTTCTTCCTTCACCTTATCCGAAACATTCACACAAGGTGATACATTCTTATGTGAGTCGAATAAGTGTTCCTTCATGTGAGTTACTCCTCCCTTCACCACCTTATCACAAAAATTACATATTAAATACACGTATGTCTTCTCGCCGCCTCCTACATCAACTTGCACATTGTATTTCCAAGAAGGGTCACGTCGCAATGACGTATTTGTCTTTTTCATGCCCCTAACCATGTTTCCTAAAGCACAAATGCAAAATAAAACACAAACTCAAAAAAATTAAAACCCTAGCTTTCCTATAAGTTGAAAAATTAAACCCTAAACTTAAAAAAAAATCCTAAGAACACTTGAAGAAGTGATGTAGAGGGGCGGCTGGAAACAAAAGACTCACCACCGAGAGGCGGCGCCGGTGAAAATGTGCGGGAGAGCCGGATCGGGTGTCTGCGTGCTTCCTGCGCGGCTTCGGTTGACGTCTTCGGTCGGGTAAGTGGGTATAAGGAAGAATTTAAGAGGTTTTTTAAGTAAGTGGGCCCCCATATTAGAGGTGTACGCCTCAAAGGAAATTGTGCAATAATGCTAGTGAGGCGTGCCTCACTCCACCTAAGGCGTACACCTCATGATTCCTGAGAATTGCCTAGGCTTTGAGGCTATTTTGGAGCAAATTGCGCAAAGGCGCTCCTCGAATTGCGCAATTTTAAGCTATGGTTTAATATTTGATAAAATTATTTGCTTCGTCATCAAATAAAAGTTGTTATTTTTAATAATTGAAAAATTCAAAAATATCATCTTTGTTTTTTGAAGTAAACAATTTTTTTTAAGTTCACCAATTCACCCATCTTGGTATGCCTAAGGATAAGTTCACTTAAGCTTAACATGCTTATCGAACTTTCATGGAGTAGCTCCAGTAGACAAGATTCGAGAGAGTCAACTTAGATGCTTTAGTCACACAAAACAGTGGCTTTCTAATGAGCCGATTAGGAATGCAAATGTATTAGATTTGACTTATGTTAAGAAAGATAGAGGTAGACCTAAAAAGATTTGGTTAGAAAATATTATAAATGACTTTTCTTTATTAGATTTAAATAGGAATTTAGCTTTTAATATGGTACAATGGAGAAAAGTTTTTATGTAGCCGACCTCACATAATGGGGTAAAGGATTATTGTTGTTATTGTTGTTTTTTTCCTTTAATAAAAGAAATTAGTAATATTTTTAATTTTAATTAAAAAAAATTAGTCATATTTATAAAAATATGATCGGTAAAATATTTATGACTAAGTTGAAAAGTTAATCATAATATTTCTTTAGTTTGATAAGATAACAATTATTTGCATATGATTTCTCTAACTCAATAAATATCATATGCAGATCCTTTTGTATCAAAATGATCAAAAAGTTTTTAGTAAATCAATAATACTCTAGGGCTCAAATTCAATGATTTAATCCAAATGTGGCTGTAAGTGTCTCTCGTTACTCCTCACGTTAATCATGATTTTTCTTGTTCATCCAGAAAGAGCCGTGCAAAAAAAATTCAACCTGCACACTCCAATACATAATTTTTTAATTTTGAAGCAGCTAAGCAAAGATAATTACATGGAAATGAAAAAAAAAATGGGAATTAAAAACTCTCTCAATGTTTTACTAGATAAATCCATTATTTTATTACAGACATTGTAGATTAAAGAAGCATACAAAAGAAAAAAAAAAAAAAGTAAAAGCAAAAATGCATTTAAAGAAGCATATGTTGTTAACTTTGAATAGTTAAATTTCATTCATCAAAGGTTTCTCCATCTCCCATGCTTTAAGCTGTATTATGTTCACATCTTCAACCCCATTGTTGAAAGCAAAAAGATATGCACTTGGACCAACGATAAAATTTGGATAAATCCTTGATATTATGTTAAGTCTTTTCCTTTGCTCCAAAGCTCTCTAGTACCAAACCATCAATCTGTAAAAAATTAACAAAGGGATTAAACATTATAAACTATAATCAATAACTATTATCAAAGCAAACAACAAAATGTAAATCCGTTTATTCTCTTGATTACATTCAAAAGCTTCATTCAATGAGATTTTTTTTTCCTCTAGAGGTGTAAACCTATGAAAAAACGAGATTTTATTAGATTCACATAGCAAAAACAAGTTATATACTAAGAAAAAAATTGAAATCAACATACTAAAAGTTTTGTATTGGATGATTCTTGAGTAAGAATTTTCAAAGCAGGTTTAGTTTGTGGTTGACTCTTCAACTGCTCCAAAGGTTATTTAGAAAATATCATTTTTAAATGAAAATCATTATCAATGTTACTAAAATTGATGGGATGATATGACAAATCATCTTAATCAATGGTTGAACAATTTCCTGAACTTCTCTATGTCCCTCCTCAGTATGCCTTCTCTTATCACAAGTTATGCTATTGTATCCACTTTGTCTATATTTACCACAATGTAGCTTCACATTGGCTCTTTCTAACTTTTTTTAGAGTGAATTTGTTGCTTCTTCATCGATAATTCTTCTTTGCATCTTCAATGCCCCGCACCTCTTTGCTTTATTATACCTTGGTGGCAATGGTGATATCATGTTACTTATTGGCTGCTCATTAACATCATTCAAAGGTTTTATGTTACATTCATAACTTCTCATATAAGTCACTATCATATAGTAGGGTTTTCTTCAATATTTGAAATGATTTGTTTTCCATTAAGTTTGACTTTTTGCACACTTAAACCAATCATCAACATCATCGTCGTCATCAACATCAACTTCATCACTATCGTTATTAGCATCACCATCTCTACCTCTACATTACTGTTAATATCATTTATCTCAGTTAAACCACCGAATAATTGTGAGAAATTTGAATCTTCAAGCCACTCAGTTGGTATTTCTTATATAATTTACATCACTTTTATTAAAATTTAAGTTGAAACTTTAAAAATAAGTTTTTTTTTACTAAAAAGCTTAACGAAACTTTGTCAATTTCTTTTGATTTCCTGCCTCTTAGTTACCTTTATTTTTTCCTATTGTAAAATTTATAAAAGTTATCAAATGTAAAGAAAAATAAATAATCAAATTTGCAATATCAAGTTAATTAGAATTATACCTCTCCTTGTCGTTCGATAATATTCAACTATGTGTCTATTTGCTCAGGAGAAGTGGGCAAGGTAGGTGAGGTAAACAACGACAAATCCATGGCAAAATGTCTGTAGTGGAAAGGTATAATCAAAATTAACTGTAATACAAGCCTCTCGAGCAAATAAAAAAGTGAATAAAAATCATATACCTGTGAGACCTGCTATATTGACGCAAACGATGATCCCTGATCGATCGAATGAAGCTCGCTAGTGCGGGATCTGGTGCTCGGTGCGATCGATACGCACTGGTCGATCGATGGATGCTCGCTAGGGCTTTGGAACATGGTGGTAGATGCGATGCTCACAACTCGATCGATGGATGCTTGCTAGGGCTGCAGGATGTGGTAGTTGATGCATGTGATGCGGGATGCCGTGTAACAACCCAAACTCTTTACTATCGAGATATTTTTCGCTTTGGCCTAAAGACCTCACAGTTTTATCCTGTTGGTGTAAACTTCCCAGGATGTCTTCCGCCCCAGGATTTCTCTAGGATGAGCACGCTCAACTGTGGAGTTTCTTAAAGAAATTCCAAAAATTACACCAAAAGATAGCTCGATGTTTAAGAGTTTAGTTTCTTTTACTTAAGGGATTTCACAATATTTCCCACTTAAGTAAATGACATTCTCGTCAGTATTTTTATCCTAGAATCATCCACCAGGTAGATAGGTTCAAGCGGTGACTTCTGCCACATAGCACTTTGTTCCATACAGGATTCAATAGATGTCTCCCATGGCGTAGCACTTTGCTTGTTTGACACTTAGTTTCCATTTTCCTATTGGTGTATTTCTTCGATACCATTTGTAATAGCCTTAACTATTGAGATCTTGTCTGCTTTGGCCTTAACTATTGGTTTTGCCCTGCTGGTGTAACTTTCTAGGAGGTCACTAATCCCAGGATTTCTCCAGGATGAGCATGCTTAACTGTGAAGTTTTTTAATGGAATTTCAACAATTACACCAAAAAGTGCCTCATTATTTAAGAGTTTAGCTTCTCTTATTTAAGTGGTTTCAAACGCTGGGGGTTGAATTTGAGGTCGACGCCAGTTGCGTTGCAGGATGTGGGAGTCGACGCCGCTATACAATACTGCTAGGGTTTTCATGCTCCTAGAGCGTTCGAGGGTTTCAACGATTCATTGCTATCTATAATGAAAGTTGTAGGTTCTGTATTAATGTTTTTTTGCTTGGGACATTTGATTTTCTGTTAAAAGTTAATGGGAGGACCAAAATAGTCACATTTTAAAGAGTTGAGGGATCAACGGTCCCCAAAAGAGTTGGAGATCATTTTGGTCCCTCCTAAAGAGTTAAGAGAATAGTCTTAAAAAATAATAAAGAGTTAATGGACCATTTTGATCTTTTTCTCATATTAAAATACAAAAAGTAGAAAAATTCCTATGATGAAAGTAAAGTGGAAGCTTTTTTAAAAAAAAGAAGCAACTCAGGGAATTGAGGAAGATATGCGACAAAAATTCCCCCACTTGTTTGATAGTTTATGAAGGAAGTGAAATTTGGGGGCAAAATTTTAGAAAGGAGTCCAGATTTGTAATATTCAAAATTTTGAAATGGTAAATGTCAAGATTCATTTAAAATTTGTATGCTTGGTTTTTCACATCTCTCAAAAATGACTAATACTTTTTTTATAAAATCTTATATTTGTTTAGGATCATTATATATATGCACACATTTAGGCAATTATTATATATAAAGATATTGGTTTAAGTAAATTGTTTTATAATTTAAATTATTTAAACCTGAGTTATAATAATAACACTGTTCATACATCTAATTCACCATTCATCCAAACAATCCTCCCGTAGCATTGAATTGAGATTTTGACTATTTAAGTAAAAATGACATGCATTGACCGATTTGAAATGAATGGATATGAATGATTGTGATTTGTTTTAACGCTTTAAATTTAATAGGTAAATTACTTAGTTTAAAAGCTAATTGCTAAAAGCTTATGATGCACTGACGTTTCTCCTCACGGAGGCGTGTAATGTCCGACACGTATCCGACACGACACTTGTCCAACACACCTTCGATGTGTTAGGCACATCGAAAACATGTTTGATTAAAAAAATATTAAATATAAATTAGACATGCCTATCTTAAATACTTTATGAATTTTTTTTAAAAATAATTTATTGTATTTAAAATTTTTTATTTATTTAAAATATAAAAACTAAATTTCTTATTTCCTCTCGACAACATCAAATCAATCGTCCGCACTTAATACTTCATTCATTGAATGTTTTCATTTTCATTTCCTTTTGACGGATAACGACTTTGGTTTCACAATAATACTCAATGCCATCACAACATCAACTGTTGACGTCTTTATAACATCAACATTTCAAAACCATATCAACTTCAATGCCTAACATTGTCTTGACATTGATGCTTGACACTAGCAATTTATACACCAATTACTTGACTGCTCATTTTTGTCCGACGTCATCTTAATATTGATGACCAATGCCCTTTCAACATCGATGACAGATATCCTCTCGACATCAACATCTTATACCTACTGTTGTACTGCATAACATCAATGCCCAACTCTCAACAGTATTGTCATCATCTCTCTCATTGCCTGATACACAACATTGACGCCCGACTCTCGATATCCTAATATTAATCATTTTATGCACAAATTCTAGTTAAATGACTTATTATTTTTAAAATTAAACTTATTCAATTTTAATATAATATTTTAAAATAAAAATTATAATGTCGTGTCCAACTCATATCCGTGTCCTATATTTTCAATGATTGATGTGTCTCGTGTCCATGTCATGTTGTATCCGTGTCACCGTGTTCATGTCTGTGCATCGTAGCTATAAAAGCACTAAGGCAATGCCTACTCATTTTCCCATAAAAAGCAAACTAAGAACAACTTCAGGCCGTGAGATCAAAAGCCATAGAAAGAAGATATGGAAAGTAAGGTTTATTTTAGAAATTTTGATTTTATTTTATTTTTTTGTTTATTTTTTTTTTCTTCATTGAATTGACATCATATCGAAGTAATAGGCAAAAATAAATAAATAAAATTCGAAGTAATAGGCTTTGAGGAGTGCATGAGAAAAAAATATTTTGAGGTAAATAAATATTGAGTTTTTTTTTTTAATTTAATATGAATTGAGAAGACAGTTTTATAAATTGAGATATGTACATTTAATAAGGTGTTTATATAAGCACAAATTATTGAGGTGATTGGAGGTAACTTATCCTGTGGTTGATTATTATTTGGGTAAGATATATATATATATATATATATATATTGAAATGTTCTTTATATTAAATTATAAAGTTTATTAATATATTTAAAATGAGAGGTGTATGTTTTTAATGTTCCAATAAATGAAAATGAATGATGTATACCCCAAATGTTCAAAAATTAAATTGAATAAGCTTAAGAAAGGTCATGTATATGAATAGATTGCTAATGAATTATGGGCAATTCACTAGACTAGTTAATGATTATAATTTAATTCATATGATATTTAAATTCTATATTAGAGTTGTTTATCTTGTTGAGCTCTAAGTTCACCTGATATTATGTTGAATGTTACTTCGGGTAAAAGAAAAGTCAAAGTGGACTTGAATAAGAATCATGTTTTGATCGGTTCTTATTTTTGTATATAAATTTATTGTAAGGTGAATTCTGATTAGGTATGTGTATGATGAAAATTTAAATATTATACAATGAATACTAATATTTATTACAAGTTATGTAGTTAATTGAATGAAAAATTTTGAAAATGCTTCCGCTCAATTTATTTGTGTTGATAGTTAAATTTCTTCAAATCAGACATGTATTTGTTAGTTAAGTTGTATCTATATTTTTTTTATGCCTTTTGTCTGACCACAAGGAGACGTCATAGGGCATGACATATAACATCATAGTTTTGGCAGTCAATAAAATCTCACATATTATCCAATTAATTTTGTTCTCGTTCATTTGATTATATATGAGATTTGCATCTATCCATGACTTAAGAACTTTGCTTCATCCACAATGACATACTTCAGCACAGATGAAGGCCACTTGAAGCTCTCATGTTTATTCTTCTGCTTCATGTATTCAAAGACTGCTAATGTGCAATACTAATCAATTAACTTATTGAAAACAATGATAGTTGATCCATTAATCTTTGGGTAGTGCCATACCCGCTTATTAATAAATAACACAAACAATTTATGTGCTGCAAAAAATATTGAAATATCGTAAGCAACACAATACATTTATATGGTTCAAAAGTTATTATTTAAATATAAACTAGTATAATTTTTACCTACTATATGGCCATGTATATTTAACTGTCGAAGACACGACCAACTTCCATTTCTTACTCTAATTTCCTTTTTATTAGAGTTAGTCTATTTTGTCTGTCATTCAAGCTTTGAAGTAGGATAATTATTATTCATATATTGGGCAAAAAAGATCAATGACACATGGATCCATTAACTTATGCTATTTTTCCTATGGATCTATGAATTCTCCTATTAGAAATTTGTCATATTACACCCCACTTTTAAATTATATAAACTTTACATCAACTTTATTTACACATTGCATAGATGGGTTAGTATCCTTAGCCTCCTTCACCATATTATCATCCGATTTAGTATGACTATGGTAGATTCAATAACAATTTCTTCCACGCTCACTTGTATACCACAATCCACTCCTACACCTTTATTCCACCTATATACAAAATCAATAAGAGATCATCTTTCTGATCTAAATATAAATTGATTATTCTTCAGCTCCCAACTATAATAATAATTTCTGCAACTAAGTAGAGGAAGGCATGTACTCATCCATGTTTTTCCCTCCATACACCTTTTCAATATGATCACCAACTCTCCTGAAAAATGTGTTCCAATCTCTTCTCAACAATTCTAGTTAGGAGTAGTATGCACAATAGATTTGTAGAAATCTTCCTCATCAGCTGTGTACCAGTTTATGGTTAACAATCACATAAAAAAATAATATAATATTTAAAGTTTGTTGCCACTACTAATTAATCTAAATTAATCCTTAAAATACAATAATTTGCATGTAACCTTTATTTGTGAGAAGTTACAAATTTTGCTTATGAACACTTTGTTGCTATTATAGTTTAAACATCTTTAAGGGCTTTCTCTCTATGGAATTTAGTATAGGTCTTCTCCTGCTTTGAAATGACTTCTTAAAATAATATTGTATTTATATGGAAAATCCACTGATAGTGCAATGGGTTGGGGCTTTCTTTTTAGTTGTCTTTTCCACCTTCAAGATATTATCCTCAATGTGCATAATATCCTTGTTTATCCATTTAATTCTTTGCTTCTCCAATGACATCCTTCCCCATACACATTCATAGAATTCTACCTCCTCTTTAACTAGTGCTAACATCCCAATAAAAGTAATACTGTTATTTTCATGATTGAGGAGAATCCCATGAATAATAAAACGTAGACCTAACAGCTAGACATTTCTTAAACATTGTACTCCATGAAGGCATCTTTAAGGTCTATATATTCTTAAATTTGTTATCATTCATAAAATTCTCAGAGCGCACTGCTCCTGTTCATCTCCGCACTTCTCATCACTAGTATATTGACCAAATCCCAAACGAGTGTCTCAAACGCTGCACTCCATAAATGCATCTTCAAGGTTTGTATTCTTAAAGTTGTTTCCGTTTAGATAATACTCAATGAGCCTTCTGCTCCTGCTCATCTCCACACTCATCATTAGGATATTCACCAAATCCTAAACCAGTTATCTACTCAAATACTGCAATCCATAAAGGTATCTTCAAGGTCTATATTGCTTGACTCTTTCAAAAAGAGCACAACTTTCAAACTGCTTGATCATTTTCTTTATCACTCTACTTTTATATGTGACCTTGTCAATGTAATGCTTCTTCAACGAAATAACTCGTTTGGATATCTGTATGCATAACAAAACAAATCAAACAAGATAAGGGGAAAAAATAAAGTTGAATCCTTAGGCATGAACCTCTGCTCTAAAGCAAATGATCAAACACTTGGTTCAAACTCAGTTCAAACGAGATTCAAAAAAGGTTTGAATTCAAACCTCAGTTTCAAAGCTACTGGTCTAACTCTAGGTTTGAAGATTGAAGAAGGTTAGAACTTTTTCTATCCTTGTTCAAACTTTTGTTTTGAAGATAATGATTAAACCTTATATTTGAAATAGAAGTTCGAATAAGATTTAAATAAGGTTTGAACACAAAATATGACTCAAACCTAAATTTTATGCTTCAAACCAGGTTTGGATAAGGTTTGAACACCATATTTGAACTTTAATTCGAGCCTCATATTATGGGTACAAAACTTTTCAAACTTGCTTGATGTTTGTTTTCAAATCTAGGATTTTAGCCTGATGTCCAAAAAGCTCCTGATCGAAACTAGCTTTAGAAAACATTACCTTTCATCTTTTTTCTACTATAACCTAAGACATTCACTGCTGGTAGAGACGGCTAATACATTCTAATCTTAAAAGAATATATATTGACATTAACTTTTCTTACTAATGTTGGAAGGGTTGGTTTGATATTGGTTGCTGAAAGCTTTGAAATAAATGTGATACAATGAGAGTTATAGTCCGATCAAACGTTTTTTAAGATTGCCACAAAAGATGCTTAGAAGTGAGAAGTTTGAGCTATAGTTATGTTAGAACGTTCTTTTTAATATGAGGGAGTATCTTTCATATTTCAATATACAGGTGTTTTCTTCCTAAATGAATTTATGCGCATATTTTCCCAAATATAAGGGGCATCGTTATCTGAACATATGCATTGTGAGGCATATAAAGTTAAGCTTTCCAAGAAAATCTGAAAGTCTCACTCCTTAAGAGACACAGATGCATCTGAATTCATTTGAATATTTACAAAGTACAGAATCCACTATTTTGAGTGGATAGAAGAATCCATTGGGAATTAACCAACCTTAAGCATGTAGGCCCTTGAGTGTCATTTCAGTTTTCTTTTATTTCTGTTAAGGATGTGAGAAAGTAGTTATCTTTGAGGCGCCTGGTGGATTTGTTACGCTACCTTGCCTGAACTGGTAAAGAATAACTAGTATATATATTCATATATCTGCTATTGTCAGAATGTTGTAAAAGGACTGAACCATAGGTCTGATGAGCGTTTGAAGCTTGATTTCCTAGAAGTAATTATATGCTCTAGCCAACCTGGAACTCAAATTGAAAACTATTTCAGTATTTTGGTACTTCTGTTGTGGAGCTTCAGTAAGTCTCACAGTTGTAATTCAGATTCACAAATGTGATAAGTTTTGAGTTCATAAATAACTATGTATATAGATCTAAAAAAGATTTGTAGTATATTTTTGGGTTCTCATACGCAAGTTTAGAGAAGAAAATAATTATTAGAGAAAAATGAAAAGAGCATCCTTTCAGAAAAGAGAGAGAGAGAGATAATGCAGACAAGGAAATAACTTCACTTAGCATATGGATAAAACACCAGGAGATGCTTTGGTATTCTTATGCCGGTTATGCCTTGCTACCTGCCGCTTTCCTCCCTCCCGGTACCTGGATCATTCGGCTCCAAGAGGCAGTGGTATGTTCTTCTAATGCTAATCCATCATCTAATGAGCCACTGCAAGAAACTATAATTGGGTTTCAGGGAAAATTAAAATTGAGCATATTAGAAGCTTCAAATCAGGCACTTCTTGGAGAATAAATGATCATGTTTGTGAAATTATTTTTCATTTTTAGCACTGATTCTCTTGGACCAATATCATAATAAAATCTTTAGGTCATTCCAAAACTTGTATGAATGAAGTCATCCTGCAAAAGAAAATTGTTTATCTTATGCTTGTAGTTATTACATGTGAAGGATCAAATATTGGAAGCATGCACTATCATCTGGGTAAATTAATCTAGAATAGAGTCGCTGTGTTATCATGGTTTATATTCTAGTGTACAGTGCACTAAGATTTATAGCTAGCATGTTCTCCTACTTCTATAACTTAGGGTGATCGTATTATCTTGGAGGGAAATCTGTTTATGCAGTGACATATCCCTTCAAGGGACAATTGGAAAAGATGTCTTTAAATTTTCATGGAGATCTATTTTTTGAATGTAAGGTTGCTTTAAAGGAGCTGATTCCCACAAACATATGCTAGCTGTGAATCAGAGATGATCCTTAACTGCAAACTGGACTGTATTCATTATCTCTTAGTGCTGTCTTAGTGCAAGCCACCAAGTAACCTTTGTGGCGATCTCTTAGGGTTAGATAGGAAAGGTTCCAAGGTACCATGAGCGGGAATCCTATGTGAAATGATAGAATAATGGAAGATATATGAAACTTTCAAAGAGAAGATAACCTGTTTAGTGCAGATCTGACGTTGGAGATATAAATTTCAGTTCCGTTGATCAGAAGCATTCATGCTTGCAAACCTCTAAAACTCATAGTGTTGGAAGACATAGGTTTTCCATATGGTTCTACAGTATTTAACATCTTAATATGGGAAGTGATAAAAAATGCATTTAATAAGAAAGGGTGAAAGTAATACATGCTTGAGAAATTTTTCATCCTAGATCTTTGGCATAACGGTTTAGGCACACTAAAAACACATTTCTAGATGGGTTCCTTGCTTCCACTGTTTGATTGTTTTGTGCTAGCAATGTGTTTGCTTAAAATGTGATGCTATTGCTTTTAAGTAATTCATTCATTTATATATTTAACATCTAAAATTTTCTTTTTATAAAATATAACAATTATTTAATATCCATTAATGGACGTAACCCTCGACAACGAAGGAAGGGAAATAGGATCTTAACGAGCCGGAAATCACCATGATGGGATGAGGAAGTTGCTATGGGATCTTGTTGAGTGCATCAGGATGAACCAATCGTGAGAGGACGAGGAAGCCATGATGGGAGAAGGAATTCATGACAAGATTTCACTGGGAAGGGTCACGATGGGATGAAACTAGGTAGGGGATTCATGGGATTGATAGGGCGTGAGGTGGCAGTGGTGACACATTGGTAATGGAGTGGGTGGGAAGTGTCACAATCCAATCGAATAAGACTCACTAATGGGATAAGTCCTATCGTGTCGAGCTATGACAGTCAAATCTCTAGATCTAGTTTTAAAAATGCTTTAGATTTATTCTTTCAATTTAAATTTTAAAATAAACTACATACTACATATCTATTATAAACATTCAGAGTACTATAAATAAATTTATTTATTGGATCTCTTTTATTTCATCAAAATATATTTACAAGATCTATACTATAATACATGACTACTAAATTAGAAGAAGAGTAAAATATAGCAAAAGCTAACCATGATTATACAAAATCAAAACAAAGAAATACATATAAACTCAAATCAAATCCTGAAATTGCTAATCAACCGGCTTCTTCCTTTTTCTAGATCCTGAAAACTAGAAGCAAAATCACAATGAGCTCAAACAACTCAACAGGCCATAAATACTGATCTAAATTCTTAAATTATTTCTTTTATTAAATATTTCAAAATATTTAAAGTGGTAGATGTAGTATAATAATCACTATAAGGAGCAAAGGAACAGCATAATAATTATCCAAAGATTTTAATAGTAAGAATACTGAGCGGTTAAATAAACTAAAATTCATATTGTAGAACAATTCATATCATTTTTCTTTTCTCCAGATACATGTATAATCTTAAAGGATTATGGTCCCTTATGACTTCCTTGTGTACTTATAGCATCAGAACATGATTTATAGCCACCAGAACATGCTATATATGCAACAGATTTTTGATCATAGGCAGAATCAATCACAAAAAGAATCTCGAAGGATACTAGGGGTGTCAATATTTGAGACGACCCGAAAACCTGACTCGAACCTGACCCAAAAATTTCGAATTAGGGTCAACCCGGACCCAAAACGGTTCGGGTTTGGGTTCAACAATTCGACTAGTTTAAAAAATTGGGTCGGGTTCGGGTTAAATCTTTGACACGAAAGTGACTCGTATTTTACCCGAAAACCTATATTTGACCCGAAAACCCAAGATTGGCCCGTTTTCGACCCGTATTGTTTCACGAAAAGTGGAGTTTGACCCATTTTTGACCCGAAAACTAGCAATGTTTTCACTGTCCTGGGTCATTCGGGTTGTGTCGGGTTGACCCGGACCCAAAGCGGGTAGGGTTTGGGTCTGAAAAACTGATCCATTTGCAAAAATGGGTCGCATTCGGGTTGACCAAATGGGTCACATTCGGGTTGACCCAAATAGTGCCGGGTCAATTTCGAGTTCGACCCAAACCCTACCTGTGACTCGAAATTGACACGCCTAAAGGATACTAACCCTTTATGTCTCCCATCAAATTGTAAATAGCCACTTGATTCAATCATATAAACACATTTCATTAAATTGCAATACAACAACAACAACAACATCAAGCCTTTATCCCACTACGTGGGGTCGGCTACATGAATCCTTTTTCTCCATTGTGTCCTATTAAAAGTCAAATTCTCGTTTAAATCTAATAAAGAAAGGTCATTCCTAATATTTTCTAACCAAGTCTTTTTAGGTCTACCCCTACCTTTCTTAACAAAAGTCAAATCTAATACCTCTACTCCGATTGAGATAAACATTCAACACGGCCATCATCAGGGTGTTCGAGGTCATTTCTCTTTTATTGATTGAACCTTATCAATTCTGTCGGGCTGTCGACAAAGGATCGGGTTTCATAGGCTTTATGCCCTTGAGAGTGAATTCTTTCTGTTGTAGGCCTTGAAGGCCTAATATGAATGTTTTAAAGTAAATATACTGGTCGCCACAACTTTATATTTGCTTAATGGTTCAAACCCTGTCGACTTCTATTGACCCGTATAGAAGGATCGGTTTCGAACCTGTATTCACTTATCAACCCGCGCAGCATCCCTAGAAGTCACGTGTGTACCAATAACACGCTCGCCAGGGTCCATGCGGGTGGAGATTGTATTTTCTCCTTTAGTGTACCTATGTGTATACAAATTATAGTGCACGTGCAGGGGTATTTATTTCAGACTTTGTTGACACCTTTTGTCTGCTTGTACAAGGGTTGCAGATCTGATGGTGTGGTGTAGCAGCTTCTGAATGGAGTTGTTCGCTGCTTCGTACAGGTGGACTGTCGTACACTATTTGTTGATTTTTATAGGCGGATCATAGTGCACTAACTAATCTCCTGCCTTAACTCGTAGTTTCTTGCATTTGTTGTGGTCTTAGTCATTATAACACATTGTTTCATGTATTTGAGAATCTTAACCTTATTTCACACCTTCATATTGTAAGTGGGGTCCAACATTTCACAGATGAGCTCATAGTTCTTGTTCCTTATCATTCATGATCTGATTTCAAACTTCTTATGCTTATTAACGTTCAATCGAATAATACAGAGCTTTGATCATCATCTACATTCCAATCAATGTGGCGGTCCATTGATATCTCACTTGTTGCATGTCTCTTTCAAACATGTCATTGCCTCCACCATAAGTTTCTTGCATATGTTTGTAGGATTTTGATTAGTGTTATTACAAGTCTTTGATCCTCAGTTACAAGAAGAATGGTTGTGTTACAAGTTTCTTCTCCATGCTCGTAGCTTGATTGGTTGAAGATGACAATTTGCTTTAATCTCATGAATGGATGTTCATTTGAATGTTTTGGATCATTGATTGGCACTTTGACCATTCTTCAAATCAAAATTTGTTATCGTTATTCATGGCCTATAACATGTAGAATGATCCTCATAAGTTCTTTATTTGCTCATGGGCAAATCTTACTCATTTGAAGTCTTGGCACAAGTCCTTTGTTGCCACATAAAAAAAAAGACTTGGATCATGTATGATGAGATTGCTCAAATAAGCTTTATACCAAAGCTTGTAGTGACTTTGTGTGTGAGCCTTTGCTTGAAAACAAGTTGTACCACAAGCTCATTCAGCATTATTTGATTGTATTTTCATTTGATTCTTGCTTGAACATTGACCATGCTTGGATGCTCTCCTTTACAAGTCCCTTGTCATATGTTGAGATTTATTCCAAAATTCTCCACAAATCTATTTGACACTTGCTTACAAATTGAAATGATTCTTTTGGAACATTGTTCACCACCAGTTATTGTAGTTCATTTCAATTAGATTAGAGTATTTCATGAATCATTTTGAAGAAATAAAAGTTCAAGTCTTTATAAACTCCGATCCACATTCAAGTTCGCCTTTGCTTGTTCAAGTTCAATGTCAAAGTTTCTTCATCACTTGAGTTTAAGTCCAAGTGTTGTCAACTTGGTTCAAGTTCTGAGTACAATTCCAAATAATCAACATGTATCTTTATTTAAGCTTGGATTCGTTTTAGAATTGAGTTCAAGTTCCAAGTTCAAGTGATCCTTGTAGTTGTCCCAAACTACGATCTCGAGTACAAGTTCTTAGCATTCGTTCTTTTGAGTTCAATCAAATCCATTTGCAAGTTCCTTTTTTTTGTTTAAGTCCTTGGATTTTCAATCCAAATTTCGGCAGCCTCCCGACGTCTCTCCCGTTTAGGGGAAAAAACCAAGAGGCAACCTTCCCCTCGACGCTACGTGAGCGCTTTAGGTAGGTGTCAAAAATGACACCGCGGTCGCATAAGTATTTTTTTATCCCCGCCCGCTACGTGAGCGTTTAAGGATTTTTAGGATTGTTCATTATAAGAAGAAAACATGATGTTCGAAAGAACACAGATTTCCCCCCTCTGCACCACGTGGGCGTTCGGGGGTACTTATATAAAAATAAAGAAGAAAACAAAAACACATTTTTTTTATCCCTTTCGCCGCAAGCGCCGCACCGGTTTCCTGCCCTGCAACGCTACTTGAGCGCCTCGGGGGTTTGTCGGCTCGTTGCTAGCATTGAAGAGGGATCCTTATCTCGTCGCAAGCATCGCACCGGTTTCCCGCCCTCAACGCTACGTGAGTGCCTTGGGGGTTTGCCGGCCCGTCGCAAGCATCGAGAAAAGAACCATTTTTTTTTAATTTTTTTTAAAAATAATTAGTTATAATTAATCATAATAAATGATAATTAATTATAATTATAATAATTAATCATTTTTAATTATAAATAACAATAATTAATTTAAATTAAAATAATTAATTATA